CAGGCACTAGAGGCATGCCCGAGGAGAGAGCAGAGGGACCAACAGTCTTGGGGAGACCTGGGAGGTGAGGATGGTGAGGGGAGAGGTGGGCAGGCAGCACCATGGACAGGGGAACAACTGGGGTGCTGGGAGTCAATAACAAGGAGGAGATAGGGATCTGGGTGGGGTGTGTGTGTCAGAGCAACAGCAAACTAGCTAAGAGGTACCAAGAGGTGGAAATAAGGGGAGAGTGATGGTAGTGCAGGAGGAAGGTAAAAGGAAACAGAGGAAGGACCTAGGAAGCAAAGCAATGGATAGAAATATAAACATAGTGGTGTGCATATGTTAACACATTAAACCACAAAAATAGAGGTATTGGCTTATGTACATATATTTATGCAGCAATACACTGAGATAGGGGATGAACTTTGGGTCTCTGTTCATACCCTCCCTCAATACAAGAACACTTTGTTCTAACAAATTGGCAGTCTGAGATGTTCACCCTCCCAACACAATCACTGAAGACAAAACGGGTACATAAGCTAATGTGGTGAAGAAGGCGGATGGTGGCCGGCTATTAAGATATTGTGTCTGGAGTCTTAAAGGCTTGAAGTTACATAAGCTGCCATTCAGCAGAGAAGCAACATGTCCACATGGAAGAAGCACACTGCTGCTGTAATCATGAGGAGTCATAGGGACCGGGTAATAGGCATCAGCAGACATATAACAAACAAAAACATATTTTTTGAGAACAAGGAGGGTGGGAGCAGAGATCCAAAGCCCATCTGTAGACAATAGAACAATCTCCCCATACAGGGGTCACAGGGAAGGGATGAGTCAACCAGGGTGCAGTAAAGCATCAATGAAACACGCTGTATTCCTCTGGTTCCTTGAGGCTTTCTCATTCCCCACTATCATGACCCCAGTGCTGCTTCTCAATTCAGACTAGACCTGAACATGTACACAGGTATAGATGAAATGGGAGCTCACAACACACAGAATCCAGGAACCGGAGTGGGAATAATGATACCAGAAGGAACGTGGGGGGGTGGGGAGAGAAAGGATGAACATCACAATTATCATACACCTCTCTCCAGGGAGAAGAAAACATGGGGGAAGGGAGATAACTGTCGGTGTCAGATATGAAAATAATAACAATGTACAATCTATCAAGGGGTTATGAGGGTGGGGGG